CACAAGGGCAGCAGCATTTCTGATTCCCCGCCCCCAAGATTCAGTCTTGCTAGCCAATCCGTGTCGCAATAGAGATTAGTTGTTTGTTTTGCAATCACGAACAATTAAAAAAAAATATGTTTCAGAAAATGCTCTAGGACAATTACCCGTGTCCTGTTTTTTAGGTCTGCTTGTCTCCAATCGAGAGCTTGGTCTTTTTTTACCTGCGAGGATGTTTCACAGGGGAGAGACAGAGAGAGAGAGAGAGAGAGAGGGAGAGGGAGAGAGAGAGAGAGAGAGAGAGGGAGAGAGCGAGATATAGGGAGTAGTGTGCGTGTGTGCGGTGCAGCTTGATACTTTAAATTCTTGAACTTGGGCCTCTGCTAGAAATCATTTCTCCATGTTGTAAATTAGTGTGAAGTTATTGTGTGATTGATCCGCCTTGGGTGTCTCCATATCCTTCCCTTGCGGTCTTGTAGTTCTTGAAGGTCTTGGACCGTCCTGCATTGGGTGCAGAATGCCTGACACGCAGCATATTATGCCAAAGCCAGTCCTAGTACAGAAAACATTGATATTTTTTGACATGTTTTGATAATGAGAGAGAGAGAGAGTCATATATATATATATTACAAGTACGTATGTATATATATATATAGGTCTTAAGAAGTGTGGCGCGTGTTTAAACTTCTAGAGAAACCCTATTAACACAGTCACAAACGTCCCACCTTGGAGTCCTTTCTTTTCCATGATTTTGTCTTCGCCACCTGTCAGTGAACAGTTTGGACACAATCTGTTGTGCTAGAAGCATGAATTTAGTTTGCTCTACATAATGCACTGAACGTACTTCCAATCAAAAGTGGTTCACCCGGTGTAATCATAACCACTCAAAATGATTGGCCAGATGGGGGTCATGAAGTGCGTCCCTGTGGTTGTTGGAAAAACTGACCTTGTGTGACTTGGCTTGTTTTCCACTACTCTTCTTCTCCTGCGGGTCAGGGTTGTCAGGGGTCAAACAATGTCAAACAAGCAGAGGTTGGTGGTATGGTGGTACACACTGTTCACAGTTTTTGTTACCTCCAAGCTCTGTGATGAAATGGACACAAAAATGCTTTTGGCAAAGTGCTGAAACAACTGATGTCCTGTTTGCGTTTTGGACGTCTGGCTAGTGATGCCCGCCGTCCAGCACATTCATCACTACTGATGTCAATGTCCAGGTCCATCATTCCGGGCAAACAGTATGCAGAGTTATATCTATAAGTATGTTATGTTATTACTTGTTCTAAAATCAGCACAAGGAAAGTCAAGATATAGTCTACAATCTAACCTAAGCCTAAGATCTACTATGTTTTCTTTTCTGACACACCATAAAACAGTACTATGGGAAATATGAACGCCGTTGGTGGTTCTAATGATTATGTTTGTTCGCAAGAACCAAAGAAAGTTCTGGAAAGAGCCAAAATGAGTTGGACAGCCCGAGATGTGCAATCGATTTGGACTTGTGAAAAACATGACCTTTGAACTTTGAACTCTGAACTTTGATCACAGGCCTTGTCACAGTCTTCAGCCTGTGTTTTCTGCCAGGGTGCTCTGGTACTTGCCTTTTTCTTGTTCGTTCGTGTCAGTTGAAACTCAAAGCTCAAACTCAAAGCATGACATTTTGTCATGACTGCTGACCTTTGAACTAAACCCCGAACCCTTTCACACAGCGTCCTATGGCCATTGCATTGCCACTAGATGCCATGCTAAGTAAAAGATTTCACTTTGTCATAGTAGAACTCAATCACCTAAAGCGCAATCGGAAACAGAACTCTGAACTCTGAACTGAAAGATTGGAAGACCACTTGGTAGCGCAAAATCAAGCCACAATCAACTTGAAAAACATATAGCTGCTCAACATATCTTGCCATCCTCTTGTGTTCGAAGTTTGAAACTGAATTCACCCAAGTAACCTGGTCTTCTGCTGTCCTCTTCCTGCTGTAAGTGAGGTACGCACCCCAAAACTTGCGGCCTGATTGATCCACGCCTAAGACAGTAAGCTGAGGCAAGGGATTTGGAACTGACTCTGATTCAGAAATTCAAAACAACAACAAGTACCAAATAGTTGGAGGATAATGAAATTAAAAGGTTGTTTGAAAAGGCATGGTACGATAGCAGGCTTCTCTCACTTGTTCTCGTGGAGTTTTGTTTGCATATAGAGGGTCATTCAGAACGGAGAAAAGCTCAGGCAAAAGGATATCGCATATCTTTCGATGCCCTTCTGATTTCACATGTGGTTGCATGGTAGGCAAAGCACGTATTGCATCGCCTGGGCCCTCCTCTCTGTCCCGGCCCTCTTCCTCTCTACCCCGGTCCTCCTCTCCCTCGATGTTGTTTGGTTCACTTGCCGGGATAGACTGGGGTGTCCCGGGCACTGGTTCAGGCTGTTGACTGGCAACCTCTGGTTCTGGAACATTGGGAACATTGGGGGGGCCTTCAATGTCAGCTTCCGACTCACAATCGCTGGCAATCCATCCCCCTCTGAGAATGGTCTCTTTGAGAACTTGGTCAGCGGACTCAGGTACACCTTCTGCTGTCCTTATTGCGGTTAGTTGGAAGTTGGAAATGCAAAAATCCTAAGATGAAGTTTGGAAGGAGTTGGAGTTGGAATTGGTGGTGTAATTTCCTGTATCAGAAAAAACGCGTTTCATGGGAACAAACCAACAACAAGAACTACAACATGGATATGCGTCAACCGAAAAAATAAAATCAAATAAACAGTCAATGAAAAAATGACCCAAACTCAAACTGAGGGGGATCACCCACCCTTTATAAGATGTGTAGTTCAGCCAAAGTGTCTCACCAGCAACAAAAACCGAATCAGCATCAGATTCAGCATCATGAGTTTCATGATGAATGCCCATGTCATCATCACTCCCAAGATCAATCACCACTGCCTCGGGTTCAGGGTTGGCAGCCTGAACGGGTGGTGGCCTAGGCTTTCTCTTCTGTCGTTTCTTTGCTTCCGGCTGAGTCTTTCTGCGTTTCCTGAGGGCTCCAAAGAATTCCGGATTTGGTGGATCTTGTCTAGGATCCTCCATCGTTTCTCCTGGAAAAGCAAGGCGGCTTGGACCAGTGCCAGCTGCTGTTATAATTGGACCTTTTGCTACTTACGAACCCAAACCTAGTGTGCCTGAAAAACTACCCTGCATATGGAGGATTTATGTTTCCGTTTTAAACATGTTTTTGTCATGTTGGTCAATCCGTCCTTTGAAGAAAGAGCAGAGTGCTTCAAAGCCTTTGGTGTTCATTCCTTTAGGTACAATTTGAACTGAATTTGGGAAGTGCTCCATTCCAGCTAGAATGGCCCGGTAGTAGCCACCGTTCTGAGAAGAATGTGAGAAGCAACCCTCCAGCTCATACCTCTTTCCCTGGTCTCTTCCTGGGCTGGGCTGTATTGGGCTGTGCATTACAAATAACCAAAAAAAACATTGCACCCACACCGTTTGCAGTCTAGCTTGTGTAAAAAACAAAACGCATACAAATAATCATCTGCCCTGGTTCGTTGGAGCAGAATTGCAAAGTACGCATTGTGTTCGCTTTTGCAATTGAAACATTTTTCCTTTATGGAAGCATGCTTTCCAGAAACACCCTGTGTCCATCCGGCTGCAGTAAGGCAACGTCTCAAAGACCACAAACTTCTATTCAAAGGGTCAATGGGATCTTTCACCTTTTTGGGCTGGGACAGCGTTGTAACAAAGGTTAAAGCCGAAGAGTTTAGGACTAATTTCCCCTTGGAGTTGAAAGACGCAAGCTCTTGCCGTTGCATCCACTCTGCAGCGGCTGCCTCGCTGGGTTTCAAACTGATAGGGCGTCCGCGGTTCACACCACATTCTCCAAGTTCACACACTTGTCTCCTGAAAGTTTGAAAGTGAAGCTCAGGGAAAAGTAGAATCATAAAAACATTTAATTACCGAAGACAATGTTAGCATTCAACAAGAACGACATCATTTAGAGTGATGTTTGCCTAGCTAGATTTCAGGAAACACAAACACACTGCTTGATAATTTGTGGCAAAGTACGCAAAGTCTTCATCGACATCCTCATTCAGTAGTGGGTCCAGCAATAAATCTTGAACGGACTGCTTGTCAAATTGGACCTTGTGATCCAATACTGTGAACTCGTACAAATTGTCTATCAAATCGTTGACAAACAAGTCTTCTACTAGAAGAGGCTGAACAACAGTTGTCACCGAATTGAAAGAAAAGTCCAAATCTTCTGGTACATCCACATTTCCATCGCAGTTTCCAACAACACAAGTCCCCAAGACTGCACAAGAGAGTGCGTTCTTCCAGTTGTCCACTGACCATTGGGTCAATTTCTCCATGTACCTTCTGTGGCCCGGTTTGAAGCCAAGCAGTTGGAAACAAGTCCACAGTGTCCCATCAGCGCTCTGACTTTGAGGAATCATGTAGAAACCACCTTTCTTTGTCAAACTCATGAAATGTGCAAGTTGTTCCCTCCCCTCTTTCGTGCATGACCTCTCATTGTCTGGCACTGTTTCCTGAATCAGCCTCGCATCACCAGATCGATCTGCAAACATTATGTCCAAGTTATGACCTGTTGTGAACGACTGAAGATCCCGAAATGTTTCCCACCTCTCTTCAACAAGCTCTGAAAAGGATTCCAAATATCTGCCCATGTTGTCTCTCAGTGAAGGTTGTACCAGGTCATCATGCAAAGAACGTCTCAAGTTGGCACTCATGTGCGCGACACTCAGGGATCTGGACACGGCAACCCGGACCTTAGGCACATGCAGGCTCAGCGGGGAAGAAACTTAGAACTACAAAATACTACAGGGAGACTTAGTAACAATATAAATTCGTGGCCAGCAACAGGAAGGTGAAGCAAACATAGTTCAGCTGTTCAGTTTCAACAGCTTCAGGTTGTGAAAACCCAACAAGTTGAAAATACGAAGCAAGCAATTGCCAACTACCAACTACCAAGACCAAAACATATATTTTGGTATAACATAACAATGTACCTTACCTTGACACAACATAACAAGGTGCATGTACAAGATGGTGCTTCGCTTCCAACCGCTTCATCACCAACAGAGATGCTGACCAACCCACAAGCTGTCTGAATAGAGATTGTTGCATGAAGTGGTCAAGACCCTTAGACCATCTTGTCAAAGCAGCACGGTGTTCCTGGAAGAACTTCTTCCCAACATCACCCACGTTTCCCAGTTGGGGGGATTTGGAATCATACAGATGCAGCATGTTACCAGCAAGGGCCCTGCTCCGCACAATCGCATCCTTCTGGTTGGATCCAGGTAGCAGGTAACCCAGCAAACCAACCAAACTCCAAGGAGGCTTTGACAAAAAGGCTGTGTACTGTGTAAACCTTGCCACCAACATATTTTTCGCTGTTGCAAATCCTTCCAAAATTCTGGAAACATCAGAATGACGCCCAAGTTGACGTAGCTTCTCCAAAGATTTTCGTGCAACAGTGTCGTTTTCCATAAACAGATTCCGCAAATTGTTGATGAATGGAGTAGGACCTGAAAGTGCGAACTCTATCAAGCGCCTCCCTGACCATCTGCATTGGGCCTTGGTGCATGCCTCCTTCTTGAGCTGTTTCTTCTCCTGTCCCAGGAATGCCCTTTGGGAAAATCAATGGGCTATGAAAATTTTCTAAACAAAAGTATGGTTTAGTGATTTGGGTTGGTAGTGTTCTCAGTTCCAAACTGTTCAAAGATATGATATGAAGATAGATCGGGATTGATTGAAGATAAAACTACAATCTGAATATTTATTAATCTATAACTTTATAACTACAATGATACTACTGATACTACCATAGCTATATCAATGATATCAGTATGAAGTGTCATATCAAACAAGTTGTTTCCCAGCTCGCGAACTTGGAACTTACAACGTGAACCCGAACTCATCCAGAGTTTGTCAGGGCTACCGTAGTCAGTATTCATTGTATTCATTGCATGTTTGTCATGTTTTTTTGTGAACATCAAAGTACCTATTAGAAATCAGAACAATGGATTTCAAGACGCAATCAAAGCTCAAACCATTTCAAACTTGAAGCCTGAAACCGAAACACACACACACACTCTTAAATAACACCAGTCAAGTCAAGATTAGTGTCCTCTTTGGTCTGGTGACAATGGCAACCGTGTAGCCAACCAGAAACATCATGACCCCACTCACACAGCAAACGTTGGGCATGGGCAAGGGCCCAAAATGTTGCAGCCCCCGCATCTGTTGTCAAAACTTCCAGGCATCGTATCTCAGCGTCTGAGAAAGTGTAGTCTGGGTCACCGAAACCATCTCCAGAATTCTCTCGTCCCCGGATTGAATCTGGCTCAAGCAGCCAAATCAGAAAGTGAGAGCGATGGGTCATCCACTTCAGAACTTCATACCTGTATTCCCATCTGTGTTTGATGAAACTGGGGCAAGAAGTCTCGAACATCTTCGCTATGGATTTCTTTGTTGAAGCACCATCTATCTTGACATTGTCATAGATAAAGTGTTTCCTAAAACGCTCCAGGTTGTCTGACTTGCTGAAGTATTTTGCAAGGGTGTTCAGTTGGCGCTCAAACAGGTCAAACATTTGATTGTCCCAACACTCTTTCAACTCCTCCATCGTGTGGTGGAGAGAGTGGTCAATATCGTGCAATGGAAGTGTGTTAGGGAAAGCCCTACGTCCCGCACTCTCTGGGTCTTCGTCATCTATGTCAGGTATAATGGACAGTTTGGACTCCACCCCCATGTCGTTTAAAAACGAAGCAGTGCGCAATCGAGCCAAGTGTGAGTTGCCAGTCTCCAAATTGATGCTTCTTAAGAGGGCCCGATATTTAAATGGGGTTGATGTCGCCTTCCTCCCCAGAACTTGCACCGGTAGAACTCTTGTCTTCCAAGACAAAGATTGCAACACAGAACCAGGGTCCAGTGAATACACTGATTCCAAACTCATATAGTCGCACTCAACAAGCAGGTAATCCTTGCTGAACTGTGGGGAAGAATCGGCTCGCATGTGAAGGACCCACATCAAATCGTTGCGATACAGGTGCTCCCTGGACCACCTCGCACGAATGAAAAAACAAATGGTGCACAATTTGTTCAAAGTTCAAAGTTCAAAGTATGTCCCTATAGTCCCTAGTCCAGTCTCCAGTCTTCTCCAATGGGGAATACAGCCATCTTAGGCTCTTAGGGCCGAAGTTTGATAAATTCTACATCTTCAAGGTTCAACAAGAACAAGAATTCAAATTCAGCCAGCTACTTTCATCATGTTTTCCATTTTTCATTCTTCCAACTTTCAACTTCAACCAATATCCAACTATCCACCACTACCGATACCGTTTCCCAATCCCAATGCCATTGCCAAGTTGCAGCATGGTGGTGTAGTCGCATTTGATCCTGAAGGTGTAGAGGCTCATACGTTGAGGGAGCGTCATGGCCTTGGCGTTGGCAAACTGGCTGGAGTTAAAAACGGAGCAGAGCCCCAAGAGATGTAAAATCGAATTGAAATAGTATTGGTTATTGCTTGTTCAAAAGTTCAAGGGTAAGCGTCAAAAGAATACAAGCTAAAGCTCACCAAACAAGTGACCTGGTTTGTGAGGTGGTCGCTTAGGTCCTTGTCCAACACAAGTCGCATTCCCCTTAGTTATTGAAATCACAAACACAAAATCACGCTCATAACACACATACGCGGCGTGCACAAGCATACAACCAACTACACACACTAATTGCGCGGACATGCACACACACACACATTGCATTCACTCATACACCCACACTGCCTAAAAGACATTGTCACAAATTACAGACATACACTGACTACACCACACACACACCAGCTACACACACACTAACTAACAACAAAACTGTTCACCGCTAAGCTGAGAGTCAAATGCACTGCTTGGGTCATAACGTCAGACTTCTCTTGCAGGTGGCAGAGCAAATCCGCAAACAAAACGCTGTCAGCAATGTACAATGGAGTGTACTGCCAACCGCCCTTTGATCTGGATTGTTTCCCAGATGTCACTTTCAAACACTTGTACAACTGCAGGGTTGTCTCTCTGGCGCTCTCCCACTTTTGGTGGTCTATGTGTGTCAAGAGGGTTTGGAACAAGGCGTCAATGGCGGAAGCAATGCTTCCGGATGGGACAATTGCCTGGCCCGCAGCAGTGCCAGCATGACTAGAAGTACTCATTGACACTGAAGTAGAACCTTAGTGTTGTGTCTAGTTTGGTTTCCTGAACCTTCTGAATGGGTGAGTTGGAACTTGTCAACACTGAACTGAACACCTTACTTTCTTTAACCGCAACTCCGAAACTTGGAAAAACATCTTTTTTGGCTCAGCTGCACTCCCCATGGAATCAAAAACCAAGAAGTTCATAGATGGAAGTCGGAGATCGGTGGTTGGTAATGGTAATTGGTAGTCTCATGAGTCATAAGATGAAAAAATATTGTTTATCTGTTTATCCAAGGAGCTTCTCTGAAACCTCGCTTCGGCCCGAGTTTGTTCCAGTGTGAAAACCCGAACGTGTTCTTCCCAATCAACATCAAATTTCCTCTCCAAAACCTTCAGAGATCGACGGCCACCCTCCAGAGTGTCCAAGAAAATTTTGTCCTTAGAAGAAGGTACGACATCTTCAGTATGCACCTGAAATGTTGGTGAGGAAACCAGCAAAGAATTGAATCAATCCTTCTGACTTCTCTGACCATTTGAATCAGGGGTGCGAGTTCAAGTTTATCATTCGAACTGAATGCAATTTTTTCTACAGCGCCCTGTTGTTGACTTGCAATCTTTTTGAGAGGCAAAAGAGGAAACAAGGGAACAGTAACAGCATAGCACAAAAAGAGGAAAAACAAGTCAGCAGGAGTTTTCAAGCAGCAGGGCTGCTTTGTGAAACCCTCTGTAAAAACTTACTGCTCAGGCTTTAAAATCAAATCCACCCGCACTGAAGGTGCCAAGGCGTGGTAGTTTCTCAGGGAGTGATACGAATGGACCGGAGACCTACCTGTCCGCCCAGTACAGCTTCAGCTGGGGGCCGGGGGGCTATTTTCGACAGAGCAGGGCGCCAAATGCACAGGACTGGTAATTTCCACATTTTCCAGAGCCAAGGACGCGCAAGTTTGACCCCAGTCGGCTATAGGTTGGCCAAGTAGACCCCCTTGTTTCCTCTCTCTGTCCTATTCCCTGGGTGCGGGCGGTTCTCGTCCCGGAGGGACTTGAATACAATAAGATATATATAAATATATTTAGAGATAATATTTACTAATATATATATATCATATATGAATATACAATAGATAAATATTTATAATAAAAACAAATAATAATAGTATTTAATATATATTTTTAAATCTATAATAGATAATATAGAAAAAATAAATAATAAATACTATATAATAAATAATATATAATATAATATATATATAGTATATCATATATCGTATTATATTTAATATATAATTTAATATAAAATATAGCATTCATAATATATAATATATGTATATAGTAAATAATCTATCAAAAGTTAAATTGAAAATATAATACATATTATATATCAGGGGCTTTCAGATTCCAGATGGACTACATGATAAAATAATATCACATATATATAATATATGATACTTTATATATATATATATATTTATATCAATTATGTCTCTCTGTCTCTCCCTCAGTTAATTTCATATTTAACCATGGACCGGACCATGACTATATGTTATATAGATGCTATTTCAAAGGACAAACAAAAAATGAATCAAAACCTGAAACCACAATCTGGTCACCATGTTTTGTTTCAACACTTTCGTGTCCGCACCAACCATCTTGACCATTTGCCGCCGTCCCTGGAAACCTATCAAACATCGAATTGGTGGATCAAGTTGGCCTTGAGCAAATACTTCATGGTCCCGCCCACGGCCGCCGCAACGGAAAATTGCCAGGTGCGTGTACTCGTCGTTTGACCTGACAAAAGCGACAAATACTCACATGACCGGATATATAGTACAGTTTACAGTATATCTTGACTCAGACACTTGATATGTTTCCAAAAGAACTTGTAATATACAATAATATTAAATAGTATTATATATATATATAATTTCTTATTATCCAGACCCTGGCCCTTATTTACAAAGATGGGTCCCCATTCCCCCTGACCTCAAACTACTTTGTTTGCCACCATGTGCCTCCAATGGGCGATGGAATGGAATCCTAGTAATTAAGTTCCTCTTTGGGACCCGCTTACAGCTGGAAAGCAGGATGCAAAATCAATCAAGACACACAGAAGACCTGCCAAATGCCCAAATGGTTTCTCCATACAAACGGTCATTCTGCCAATTGGACCACGCCATGGCTTGAGATTCCCTGCGCTCTCAGTAAGAGTGTCTGATGGACCCTGGTTGATGTTTGTGTTCTGAAAGCACATGTGCTTGTATGATGTCAGAGTCTAGAATCTAAGTGCCTTCACACCCTATAAAATTTTAGAGCATGCCCTTGACTGACTGACATATTGTACAGTCTCCTTTACTTATGTCAGGATCGTAGCTTGACACCCTGTAAAACTTTAGAGCATGCCCCTCACTCCAAAGGGGCTTTGAAATCAAGCAAGTCAGAGCCAGAAGCCAAGCAAGTTTGTTGGTTGAACTGGAACTCCGCACAAAAAACTGCGAATTGGCTTGTTGCTTCATAAAATCGCTCCAAAATTGCCGCTTGAAATTGGCAACCACTTAAATAATGGGTATTATGAATGGGACCATGTAGCCATTCCCCCGAAAGACCTCGCCGTCATTAGTAATATAACCTATCAATAAAGCTGAAAGCACACGTGATCTTATTTTCTCAATGGCTGAATCAAAACTGCGCTACGTGCGGCGTAACCACATTGGGACTAGCCAGCCTCTCATAGCTCAGCAAGTTGGGAACAGGGAGCTTGTAGGCACATTGTCATCTTGCTTCTTTTATAGTGCTAGCACTTCCCAGTCTTTGGTATACCCAGTGCTAGGGTGAGCGCGGGAAGCAGTTCTCTCTCACATCATGTAGTTCTTCGCCTACACTTGAACTGATCTCAATGCCATCGGGATAAACCACTGGGACTAACAGCTCGGTTTGAGCGTATTCCATTTCACGTACGATGTGAGCTTTGTAGTCAGCTATCATGTGAAGTAAAGTGACTTGCGCTTGAATGTTCTCATCAAGCTTTTCTGGCATTGGTATGTCGACCCAGAATACTTCCCTGGCCTGTTGCTTCGCCTTGAGCAAATGGTAGTGGGCGGACTGTAAATTGTCCAGTAAGGTACAGCAAGCCGTGTACTTATTAATGACACGTTTGATGTGTAGAAGTCGTTCGTCACAGCTTGATGCATCCGATGTTGCGCACGCCATGGCAGGCAACCCGATAACTGAAATTGTGTAATCTCTTTCGAATCCACCAGACTCGCGCAATTCATGTGGGGGAGAAATGTAATATGGTTGAATTCCGAGAAAAAAGAGACCATTAAATGTTTATGTGAGGGACCCCTGTCACGTCTTTGGACAGAAGTACCCTGAGCTATCTTAGAAATGGAAAGCGACACATACTTCTCATTGGTCCATTGAATGGTTAGGGAGGAAACTACAACACACGGACGATTATGGAAGAGAGTTACCATAATTCATGAGGTAAATGAAAAATTCACTAGCTTGGTCATTTACCTCATAATGCCGCTACTGAGGAGCCAAAAAGTGAAGTATGCATAGAGTCCTCGACAATCGGTACTGCCAATCAAGTACGTAGTTGGAGTGTGGCTCATGGACCAAGAGAGAGTAGACTTGAATACTAAACAGAAAAGGCACAAGCAAACAAAAACCAGATAGAGAGAAGCGAAAGGAGGGAGAGTAAGTAGAGTGCCATTAGAATCTCGCTACCTAGTATCGAAATCAAAGAGAGAGAGAGGAGTAGTACACAATTGGCAAGACAACTAATCAGTTGACCAGTCATTTTGCCCTCTGCGCTAATGACTGTTTTATGGCACAATCACAATGTGCAGCGATAGGTCCGCTCATTCATCCAATTTTCGCTTCACAGAACTCTGACTCTGTTGCCTGCCGTGCTTCTCTTGCCGACGACTTGCCTCCCATCTCTGAAAGATTTTTGCTCGATCGATGGCAGTCAAAGATTTCCGGTCAGTCTGTTCTTCACAAGATTCTCGTTTTGGGACTACGTGATTCCCTTCCTCGTTTGCCAGGAATACTATAGCTTCATCCAGCGCCCCTAATGCCAATTTCAATTGCTTGACAGCTTTCTCCGTGTCCATGCCGGCTAGGCTTACATTGTCAGTTGCCTGAGCCAGGCCATTTCGCAGCTGAGTGACTTGATGGGATAACGGGTTCGCTGAGCATGGCAATGGTTTCTGTCTAGGTCTCTCAGTCTCCGTGCTCATTGGCAGAGATAGGGAGTAC